CTCCAGTCTGGGCGACAGAGTGAGACTCCAACTCAAAAAAAAAAAAAAAAAGATCTGTGGGTGATATTACAGGTTTCCAGGGACATGGCTGCTAAAGAACATCAAATGCACTACTCACAAAATATGTATTTGTATACAGATTTAGAGGAGGAGTGTGTGCGTGTTTGTGCATGTGTAAAAATATAAATAAAATTTGGGAAATAGAGAAAAGCACAAAGAAGAAAGTAAAAGTTATCCCTCCTTATCTGAGGCACTGCTAACTTCTGCTAACATTTTTATGGGTTCCCTCCCTGACTCTTTCTCTCTGCTCATGTGCTGGGTGGGCTCCTGACTTCAGCCAGTGTTCTTGCGCCTACATCAGTGCTACCCACAGTCTGGTTCACAAGCTGGCAGCATCACTATCACCTGGAAGCTTTCTAGAAGTACAGCTTCTGAGCCCCTCTCCGGAACTACCGAATCAAATCTCTCAGAGTAGGGACTAGGAATCTGGGTTTCAACAAGGCTTGCAGAGGGCTGACATGCACATGAGAGTATGAAAAGCAGTCGTCTACACCAGTGCTACTCAGAGTGTGACCTGTAACGTCAACTGTTACTGTGCCATGACAAGATAACACGGAAGGTGGTAAGAGTGAACACTTAGAAATGTTTATATTAATTTGATACATCTGTGATGTGCAAGCATGAGAGACTCAAAAACAAAAGTTTTATCAGTCTACGGTCAACCCCTTTAAAGAAAGGAGAAAGTGAAATTCATGATAGTTGGTGCCTCTGGGGAAAGACAAGAGGAACAAATTGGACTTTCTTTCTTCAAAAAGAATATCCCAAAATACAAGCAAACAAAAACTGGCTCTTGACCACAAATAGTTTTAAGGGCATTGGTCTACACCATCCATGTCTCTTTGTAGACAGAATTGCTTGTTTCAAAGAGGAACCTGCTACAGCTGTGGCCATTTGCAAGGGTCATTTCTAAAATGGATGCATGCTTGTTTTTCTGGAAGTGAGAAAATTTAACTGGCATGGAGGGATAAGCAGGAGCTAGACTTTGGTCTTTGGGAACAAACAGCCCTGAAGGTTTTTAAGCAGGGAAGTGGCAAGATCAGGTTTGCTTTCTCTACTGAGTGACGAGCCTGGGCACAGGAGTTGGGAGGCCGTTGCTGTTGTCCAAAAAAGATGATTCTAGCTCAGCACAATGTTGGCAGAGATGAAGAAAAGTGGATAAAAATTAAAGATATTTGTGTTGTGTATTCACTTTGGTTAAAAGAGAAACTTTCTAATGCATGCATTAGGAGGTGAGGGAGAGAACGAGTTCATTCCATAACTTGGCATTGTTTTCTGTGTATTTTAGTACTGATGGTTTTCCATAATAATCAGGTGTCTATGCTGTGTATTTGAATGAAAGGATAGCTGCACAGCCTGTGTTTGCTCACAGTCGGCGTGCTGCCTGTCTCCCGTTCCATCCAGCACCTGGTAGTCTGGGAGCTCAGGGAGAAGGGCAAGAGCGTGTCAGCTTCGTGCCTTGTGTCTCAACTTTACCTGAGTACCTAAAGAACGTGGTTCCAGGCTTCACTTACCGTGGAAAATCCGGTTATTGGCCTTTCATCCTGGATCTTACAGCTTGAGAACACAATTTTAATTGTATTTCCACAAAAATCAATCTGAATACTTAATAGAAGTTTTTCAAAAATATGTTATCAGAAATACACAGCTATAAAATTGATTAATAAAATATTTAATGTTGCTTATTACATACGATATGTACTTGCTTATATCACTGCTAGTTTCTGGTAATTCGGTATATATTTATTGAGATGCCTACTCAGCTGGGCTTGGTGGCTCAGCCTGTAATCCTGCGCCTTTGGGAGGCTGAGGTGAGTGGATTGCCTGAGCCTGCGGGTTTGAGACCCGCCTGGGCAGGCAAGACCTCATCTCTACAATAAATCAAAAAATTAACTGGGCATGGTAGCGTGCATCTGTAGTTACAGCTACTCGGAAGGCTGAGGCGGAAGGATCGCTGGAGCCCAGCAGGTCGAGGCTGAGGTGGCCGGGAGCGGCCACTGCACTCCAGTCTGGGCGACAGAGTGAGACTCCAACTCAAAAAAAATAATAATAATAATAATAATTTGTATATCTACTATCACCATTGATTCAAAACATTAAACAAGTAACACAAAAGGGTGGGAAGTGGCCAAGAAAATACACTTTACTAAGGCATGATAAAAGGCACCCATCTTAAGAGAAAAAAATAGAAGAAACAACATTTTGAGATTATAGAACAGCTATTAAAAAGGAACAAATTCAGACCGGGTGTGGTGGCTCATGCTTGTAATCCCAGCATTTTGGGAGACCGAGACGAGAGGATTGCCTAAGCCCAGGGGTTCAAGACCAGCATGGGCAACATGGCGAGACGTTCTGTCTCTTCAATAAATCAAAAAAATTAGCCAGGCGTGGTGGCATATGCCTGTAGTTCCAGCTACTTAGAAGGCTGAAGTGAAAGGATTGCCTGAGCCCAGAGATTGAAGCTGCAGTGGCTGTGATCTTGCCACTGTACTCCAGCCTGGGCAACAGTGTGGGACTCTGATGCAAAAAAAAAAAAAAAAAAAAAAGGAACAAATTCAGTTTCGGAAAAACTCATCCACCTTTATTTTTCTCTTTTTCCCATGGATTGGTGAAAAATGTCATCAGGGTCTGGTCTGCAGGTATAATTTAGGAGTCGTTATTCGAGAAGTGGCCAGAAAAGAGGACCTCTTCTCAATACGGAGAGAACAATACAGAGATAGCATTGAGTCTTCTTGCCAGAGACCAGCAAGTGGGAGTCGAGGGCACCAGTGAGGCAGGGAGGTGGCTGGGAAGCAGAGGGGAGACCACTCTTGAGTATTCATTCATTCATTCATTCCTTCCTGACCTCCTACCAACCCACTTTGTGTTTGTTTGTGTGTTTAGCCTATCAGCTCATCACCGTGGTGATCGCAGCAGCGGGAGGTGGACTTCTACTCATTCTGGGCATCGCTCTGATCGTCACCTGTTGCAGGTAAGTGTCTCGAGTTCACATAGTCGTGTTCCTTAACCTGTGCTACACACGGGTCAGCTTTTACTCTTTTAAGGAATACTTAAGTTGATGTACTATACCCGGTCATAATGTGTGAGTAAACCATTTTTTAAAAAAGGAGAAAGGGAAATTCATGATAGTTGGTACCTGCAGGGAAAGAGAAGGGGAGTAAATGGAAATTAATTTCTCTTACTCTAAAAGAGTACCCCAAAGCACAAGCAACAAAAGATAAAAGAGATGAGTTGGACTTCATCAAAATTTTTTAAAAGTCTGTACTCCGAAGGACACTCTCAAGGAAGTGAAAAGACATTCCACAGAATGGGAGAAAATATTTGCAAATTATGTCTGTAGGGGACTTGTGTGTAGAATATCGAAAGAAATCCTACAGTTCAATAATAAAAAACAGCCCAATTTTAAAAGGGCAAAGGACTTAAATAGACTCCAAAGAAGCTATGCAAATGGCCAGTAAGCACATGGGCCGAGCCCATTTTGTGTTGCTGTAAAAGAATGCCTGAGGCTGGGTGATTTATGAGGAAAAAAAGGTTCAACTGGCTGCCGATTCCAATGCTGGAAAGTTGTAGCTTGGGCATCTGCATCTGGTGAGTGCCTCCAGCTGCTTCCACTCATGGTTGATGGTGAGGGAAACTGCCAGGTGAGAGAGGACGCGAGGGTGGGGGCTGCCAGGCACTTTAACAACTGACTCTCGGGACCGATGAGAACTAACTCACTCCTGAGGGAGGCCATTAATCTCTTCTCAAGAGATCTGTTCCTGTGACTCAAACACTTCCCATTAGGCCCCACCTCCCAATACCTCCACACTCTGATTAAATTTCAACAGGAGATTTGGTGGGGACAAACAAAGCAGGTCCAAATCATAGTACACATGAAAGGATACTCAACATCATTGGTCATCGGGGAAAGAAATCAAAACTACCATGGAGGATCACTTCATGCCCACTAGGAGGGCTATTAAAAACAAAGTAGCTGGGCTCGGTGGCTCAGCCTGTAATCCCGCGCCTTTGGGAGGCTGAGGTGAGTGGATTGCCTGAGCCCGTGGGTTCGAGACCCACCTGAGCAGGCGAGACCTCATCTCTACAATAAAATCAAAAAATTAGCCGGGCGTGGTAGCACGCACCTGTAATTCCGGCTACTCGGAAGGCTGAGGCGGAAGGATCGCCAGAACCCAGCAGGTCGAGGCTGTGGTGGCCGGGAGCGGCCACTGCACTCCAGTCTGGGCGACAGAGTGAGACTTCTACTCAAAAAAACCAAAAAACAAAGTAATAAGTGATGATGAAGATGTGGGAAGATTAGTAGCCCCATACTCTGTTGGTGGGAGTGTAAAATGGCACAGCCACTTTGAAAATGCCTCCTGCAAGTTAAATACAGAGTTACCATTTGACCCAGCAGTTTCATTCTTAGGTATATACTCAAGAGAAACGAAAATATATATCCACACAAAAATGTAGCATGAATATTCATAGCATCATGATTCACAGTAGCTAAAAGGCGAAAACAACCCCAATGTCTAGCAATTGATGATTGAATAAACAAAATGTTATATCCACACAGTGGTATATTATTCAGCCATAAAATGAAGTACTGATAGCATGGATGAACCTTGAAAATATTGTGCTAAGAGAAAGAAGCCAGTCACAAGAGACCACCATTGTGTGATTCCATTGATATGAATTGTCTGAAATAGGCAAATCTAATAAATACAGCAGGTAAATTAGTGGTTATCTAGAACTAGGGTAGTGGGGGACAGGATGGAGGGAGAAAATTGGGGAGAGGTGGCTAAGGGGTATAGGGATTCTTTTGGGGGTGATGAAACTTCTAAAATTGATTGTAATGATAGTTGCACAATTCTGCTAAAACCATTAGATGGGTGGATTGTATAGTATATGAATTATTTCGAAGTAAATCTATACAAAGAGCAAAAGAGAAGCAGATGAAGAAAGAAATGAAAGGCGTTATCTGAAATATTTTAGCAGTAGAGAAGTTGTAGCAGCAACGTGGGATGAGCAGTGAACTTGGCTCTAGACCAAGGAGAGAAGAAAGATGAGACAAAGAAAGAATCGCTCTTCCTTCTCTGAGATTATCAGTTCAGATAAGGAGAAATTATGATCTTTGACTTAGATGATGATAAGGGCAGGAATTATCTGGACATAACAGAGGGAGGGAACTTTCCAGACTAGCTAGTCACCTTGTCTTCCATTGACATGAATGACATTTAAAAACATCCCTACTCTCTAGTAAGGCTGCAGAGAGCAATTTGCCCTAATTGCCTGGTCAGGAATGCAGGCCTTACAGTATAGCCTTTGCCTGTCATTTTCCAAATTACCATCAGATCAACAAATAGACCGTATAAATAAAAATGTGCTTCCTGGGATGAGGATGGGAGTGATTACCTAGATGGATAAAACCTGAGTGCTCAAAGGGATGAAAGCAGCATATTTGCTCAGTGTTCTGTACCATGTGATGTAGCCATTGCGAGAAGGAGCCTGTGACCTGCTGAGAAGGGAAGGTGGTTGTGAGCCAGTAAGTCATTGTTTGAGTCCGGACACCCCACCCACTAGGGAGGAGCAGCACAGTGGCAGGTCTGTTCTGCACTTCCACAAACACCTAAGCTGCATGGACATTTGGTTTTATGACCCTGAGTCATTTTGTGCCTTCCCCAGATAATTACTTATAGGTAAGTGAGGTAGAAGGAAAAAACTTCAGATTATCTAACCCATGGCAAATATAATTTAACATTTATGATCCGAGGCCCATTAGGTGAAGATCACCTATCCCAGCAATTTTCAGTGAGTAAAAAAAATCTCACAAAGTAGGGTTTCTCTGACCTACTGAAATGAGAATGTGCACAGACATAGAAATAGGTAGTCTTTTTTGCAAATAAACCATCCTGTTTTTATGATTTGTTAAGTAGCTTTGGTATTAGAATGAGCACCACCAGATGGGCTTGGTGCACTTTGGAAGGCTGAGGTGAGTGGATTGCCTGAGCCCGCGGGCTCGAGACCTGTCTGGGCAACTTGGCGAGACCTCATCTCTACAATAAAATAAAAAAAATTAGCCAGGTGTGGTAGCGCACACCTGTGGTTACAGCTACTTGGAAGGATCGCCGGAGTCCAGCAGGTCGAGACTGCAGTGGCCGAGAGTGGCCACTGCACTCCAGTCTGGGCGACAGAGTGAGACTCCAACTCAAAAAAAAAAAAAAGAAAGAAAGAAAGAGCACCAGCTGGGGAGTTAAAAGGCCTGGATTTGAGTCCAAGCTTTGCTAGTAGCAAATGGTGACCCAGGAGACAAATCGGGTCTCTTCACTAGGCCAGTGCTATTTCACCCCCAGAGCGCCTGATTCAGTAAAATCTGGGAAGGCCCAGATGCTTTCCATGTAAGAGGCCCGAGCAGGTTAGGAGCTATCAGACTAGAATTCCAAGGGCTCTTCTGGCTTCAGCATGCTGAGAATTTATCTCTTATTTCCCTGGCCTCCCCCAAGACACAGTGATCTCTGTCCCTCTAGAAGAGTCTAAATCTGTTCCATTGCACCTGTCTTTGTTCACTCTGATAATCTGCCCCTTTGGGGTTGGAAGACTGCATTTATGATCCTAAGCCTGTTAGGTAGGTGAAGAACTCATATCCCAACAATGCTCAGTGAAATCTTGCAGGTTTCTCTGACTTGCTGAAATAAGAATGTGTATAGGTCTAGAAATAGGTGGTTCTTTTTTTTTTTTCCGCAAACAATTGCAGTTTTTACTTATAGGTAAATAGTAAAAATAATAACACTCCTCAGTGGACAGCTACAAAGAAATATAATGATAACTTTCAAATCTAATTTATGTTATGAAATAATAGTCGATGGATTGATCTTTTCAATATTTTTCACCCCACAGAAAGAACAAAAATGACATAAGCAAACTCATCTTTAAAAGTGGGGATTTTCAAATGTCCCCGTATGCTGAGTACCCCAAGAACCCTCGTTCACAAGAATGGGGCCGGGAAGCAATTGAAATGCATGAGAATGGAAGTACGAAAAACCTCCTCCAAATGACGGATGTGTATTACTCGGTGTGTATTCCTAGGCCCAGTCAACCTGAAGGCCCTGGTGTCCTCTGAGAAGTAAAAGAATTCTGTTTTGTTGTTGTTGTAAGGGTTACTCAGTTACTTAAGAGTTAAAGAGAATGATGGCATCAGCCTCTTATATACATATTTTAATACTCAATTTATTTATGATCCATTTGCTTGGTATTCACCAGTGTTGATATTGAGCTAGGAAGGGTCTTTCCACAGAGCACAATATACTTTTAAGGGATTATAGCAATGACCGTCTTATGACTAAACTTGTGTTTAAGTTATAGGAATGGAAAGTGAAAGATAAAGAAACAATTTAGTGACATGTAGCCCTTTGCTCTTTCATTTTTTTGTTGTTGTTGTTGTTTTTGTTTTTTTTGTGTGTGTGTTTTTTTTGAGTTGGAGTCTCACTCAGTCACCCAGACTGGAGTGCAGTGGCCGCTCCCGGCCACCGCAGCCTCGACCTGCTGGGCTCCGGCGATCCTTCCGCATCAGCCTTCCAAGTAGCCGGAATTACAGACACGCGCTACCACGCCCAGCTGATTTTTTGATTTATTGAAGAGATGAGGTCTCGCTGCCCAGGCGGGTCTCGAACCCGCGGGCTCAGGCAATCTCACCTCAGCCTCCTGAACTCACCTCAGCCTCCCAAAGGTGCAGGATTACAGGCTGAGCCACCGAGCCCGGCTTTGCTCTTTCATTTTTATTTCCTGTCTGCCGTGCTTACCTTGTGTGGTTACATAATTAAAACTGGGGTTTGGAAAAATCTATAAAGAAAACAATTCAATGTCATCCTCAACAAACACTTCTCAGGGGTCTGAAAGATCATATGCTCAGTAGGTCTTTTTTTTTTTTTTGAGTTGGAGTCTCACTCTGTCGCCCAGACTGGAGTGCAGTGGCTGCTCCCGGCCACTGCAGCCTCGACCTGCTGGGCTCCGGCGATCCTTCTGCCTCAGCCTTCCGAGTAGCCGGAATTACAGGCGTGCGCTACCACGCCTGGCTAATTTTTTGATTTATTGTCTTTAATAATGTGCTATGTCCAGTGTGGATTGCATCATTTGGAAAGACAGGAGACTACCTTGAACCTTTGCTTCTTCTCTCCCACGCTGAATTTAACCCATGCTTTGGTTGATACACTGCCCAATACATTTCACATTACACTGTACTGACCATAAAGCAAACACCAGCAGGCATATGTGAGCTGAAAAATAAAAGGCTGTCAGGTGACTCCTCAGCTGTTTGAGGACTAGCAATAAACCTGAAACCTTGCCCTGTGGGAACTTGATGACACTAGACAATCTTGTTACAGGAACCACAATCTCTCTGGTTGCTGTGGGAATTAACCATGAGTATTCAGACTTTGGATGGGAGGGGCGAGTTTGTTCCTGCTAGGGAGCCGTCTGTTTCAGTGGACTCCTTTTGAGTGATTTGAACCTGGAAGAAGAACAAAAAGCTATAAATAAGGGGAAAGATCAACACAGACACAAACTTAACTCTAGTGAAAATGTTTTCATTGATATTTCAGCACAGGGCTTTGCCTTCTTCTCTGTCAGGAAAGCCCTTGGCCTTTACTAACTGTAACCAAAACTAAGCAGGCCTTTACTAACTGCAGCCATAGTGAAGCAGGTACTTGACCCAGGTGTGTCTTCACACGCACATCCCTTGCTAGGGACTCCTCAGCCCCAGCGTGGTGGGATAACTAGTGAAAAACAGGTCTCTGGCATTGAAGGACCCACCTTCACTGTGTGTTTCCGTGGCATTAGCGAAAGAGTTGCCTTAAATAGTCAGGAACTTACTTTATTCCGTCTTTATTTCAAAACTAGCAGGCTGAGCAGTCTACAGACAGGCCCTAAGCTTAGGGTGTGAAGCTATTACCTGATTGGACAGGCTGCTCCTCACTGGACTCAGGAGTGGGCCGGGTGATTCCCACATGGGGCACTCACAGGATTCACATATCTAATATGCAGTATCTAGTGTTTTATTTCTACCAAGAAGGTATTCACTGCTGTAATACTGGGAGGGATTCCTCAAATTAGTTCCTGTCATTCCCAGGGAGCTTTTGTAGCAGATCAGATGGGGAGATTGGAAACAAGGTATAAAGAGAACAATTCAGTGACCCCCTCCTAAACAGGTATTTGGTCAGAGACACCTGAGAATTGCTGTTGGCCTCCTGGTTTGGGGTCGTAACTCCACCTTTAACAAGGTTGTCGTAGGACCTTGCAAAGGTCAGTTCCTGCTTTCACATCAACTGCCTCCTATGCTGTAGCAGGGACAGTCACCTTCTGCTAAATACTGTTGTGCTACACAGAGAAAGACATTTCTAAAATTAAGATAATAATCAGTAGAACCACATCCCATAGGATGAACCCAGATTTTTTTTTTCCTACGTTGGTTTAAAGTCATTGGGCTTATTTAAAGCTAAGAATAATCAGTTGGCTTTTCTTCTTTTTTCTTTGGCAACCAGCCCTCAGGTGTAAGGAATCCTGAACTTGAACGTAATGGACTCTACCCAGCCTACACTGGATTGCCAGGATCACGGCATTCTTGCATTTTCCCTGGACAGTATAACCCATCTTTCATTGGCGATGAAAGCAGGAGAAGAGACTACTTTTAATTAAGTCCAGGAGAGAGGGGCCCCATGGCTCTGAGCCAGTTACCCAGGAGCTCTGTGGTTCAGAGGGCTGCGCCAGGAGTCTGCTTCCAGGACTTGTTGGAGCCACATTTGAGTAGCCAGTAGAAAAGAGGACAGGCGTGAGGGTTATGAACACAGTGGAGGGAACAGGTGGATGTGGAGCCGCAGGCTGCACGTGGGGCACCTTTGTTGTTACTGTGAACGTGAGCGCGGGCCAGTACCAGGAGAACTTCTTGGAGTGACTGCACCATGGCCCTGGCGCCAGGGTGACTGTCAGCAGGGCAGACCACTAGGTATCATTGCGAGGACCAGTTTTCCCTTAGTTTGCACTTTAGTAAATCGGGTAGGGAGGTTTCCTTTTGGATTTGTTTCAGGACTGCTCCAGAAAGAAAGCTTCCTTTCCTGAGATGCTTTCATAGGCCGCAATTTGGTGATTCATTTACAGCAAAATACTGTCTCCTTAGTTATTCTCCTCCCTAGTACCTTTGTGCTGAACAACAGACGATGTGAAAGTACCACCATTGTGAAGATGCTGCCATTGGACATACGGTATTTTAATGTTTCTAGGGTGTCTTATGCTACAATTTCCAAGCCAACCTCCACAATGAGGAATTGAAATTTGTCTTTTTTTTTTTTTTGAGTCAGGGTGACTCATTTATTTAAGAGTTTTTTGTTTTCTCTTTGCAGTTAAAGCTCACATTTTTTAACAAGTCTGGTTCAGGGCAAAAGATCTTATATTTGGTTTCAGTTAGAGCCATCCAGCCACCCCATAGTGAAGCCCAGCAGGTGGATTGCAGGCGGTGGGGCACTTTCCATCAGAGGACATGGCATGGGGCTTGGGACTCTGACCACCTTTGTTGAGGCCAGAGGCTACTTGTGCATGGAGGAGAAATGGAAAACTGAACGCAGGTTGGCTGAATCCAGGTAGGAGCTGAACTGACGTTTTTCCACTGTAGGAAAAGCAGCTGGGTGTGGCTAGAGGAAGGGGGTGAAGGGCAGATTAGTGTTGGTTCCTACAGGGACAATGCTTTGGGAAGCCCCGTGGATTCCCGAGGCGGAGCAGGGAGCCGGGATGGAGGCTCAGAGGAGTTGACTCACCTGCAGGTGCAGCATCTTTGATGTCATAACCCCAACCACAAACTCCTTATAAACTTTCAACCACTCGAAGTGATTTATTCACTGAAGAAATCATTTCTTTTCCTCACTTATCATTTGTGCCTCCATGCTACTGTGTGGTGCCCTGCAGAAACACAGCTATGATTCAGGTTGGCGTTGGAGGACTAGAGACTCCTGGCCGGTCAGGGAGCTGGGAGTTAGCCGTTGGGAAGGAAGTTCCACACGTCTTATTTGGCATGCCTGTGACGTGGGCCCTGCAAGGGAGACCTATCTACTGTGTAGTGTCTTTAACCGCTGCCTGTGGAACAGTGTTTATTCACCTGCTTTGGGGACCTCTGGGTTTTGGATGAAGCAAGAGGAACATAGAGGTAAAAGAATGACCTCCACTCGGCGACTGAGAGCTCTGTGACCCACACTCTTCTGGAAATGGTGCAGCCACTGGGGACGATTCTGCCCTGGACATGGTTGTTTCTGCAAGTTTCTCTAATCTGTTCAGAACATAGGTAATCTTTATTCTTATGTAATCGTTGTCCTAACGGTGTTAAGTGTGAACTCCTGGGCCTCCATGTCTCCACCACTCACCATTACCCTGCTACTGCAGGAACTCTAGTCAGGTAGTTAAATTGCTCTCATCTTGTGAGATAAATACAACAGGAATTGTTTTTGTCAGCAGATGTGAACTTAATATTTCAAAGCATCGCCTTTTTGAAATCTCGGATCTTGCATCTCTCTCTGTAGAAACAGATGGTTCCCTTGTGCCTTGCTACACTGCGCCTAACTAGACAGCTCCAAGCACCTGCCTCAGCCTACCTGAGGCAGCGGGCTTGGCTCTTGGTGCGGTGGCCCAGCTTCTAGGCTCCTTTCTCAGCATCCCTGCTCACCCCTGGCTCCTCCCCCACCAATTCCAAGGAAAGGCCCATGGAGAGAGGCTGCTGCACCCAGGTGTACAAGCCTGCTGCCTTCAGCTGACATCACAGCTGACAAATCGTCTCAATGAGGACCAGATGCTTTCAGCTCCACGAAATGAAGTGTTCTGTACCAAAAGCATTCTTGGGAAGAATCCCGGAGTCCAGAAAAGAGGATCCTATGAGTTCCAAGAATGCTTTTCTGCTTATGAGTTTTATCCATATGATGTGAATTTAGAGTGATTTATTTTGTTGTTTTTGTTTTTATCAGTAAAAAGGAGGCACTCTTTTTTCTGAGTTCCCACAGTCTCTACAGTTTCCAGGAGGTGTGTGGGTTGGGGAAATTTCCTTCAGAGCACGAGGCTCTGAGAAGGCGTGAGAGAAGCATGGCTGGGACCCAGTGCTCACTGCCTGTCCTTGATAAGGAATGGAGAGGTCAGCTTCACTCCTTTGTGGGGTTCCCAGCTCCAGAAGGGTTCTGCCTAGGCGAAGGGACTGCAAAACAGGGCTGGATGCACACTTGACAAGGCACACCTGACTGCTCTGGCATGCGTGCTCAGCCTCCACATCTGGAATGTGCAATTCACATGCATAGAAATGCCAGCTTCCTGCATCAGGACCCCACAGCTGGGGGAAGGTGGGAGAAAGGGAAAAGTGATGCTTACCTGCCAGTAAGACTCTTCAACCTTCATAGAGAAGAGCTGGGCCCAGTGGGAACTTAGTGTCCCATCACATACTGGAGCAGGAAGGGGCTGGCTTGCTGGCTGCCTAACGTCAGTGGTTTGGTTAAAGCTCTAGAGTTTTACTTCCATTGTCTGCTACTCCTTACCCCATGAACCAGCCCAAGGCACTGGCCTCTATTTCTTTTTTTTTGAGTTGGAGTCTCACTCTGTCACCCAGACTGGAGTGCAGTGGCTGCTCCCAGCCACCACAGCCTCGACCTGCTGGGCTCCGGAGATCCTTCCGCTTCAGCCCTCCAAGTAGCTGGAACTACAGGCGCGCGCTACCACGCCCAGCTCGTTTTTGATTTATTGTAGAGATGAGGTCTCGTCAAGTTGCCCAGGTGGGTCTTGAACCCGCGGGCTCAGGCAATTCACTCACCTCAGCCTCCCAAAGCGCGGGATTACTGGCTGAGCCACCAAGCCCGGCTTAGCCTATGTTTCTTAAGGAGGATAAACTAACACAACATGTTCCTACCATGAGCAGGCTCTGTGCAAGGCTCCTCAAAGTACTCTTGTGAAGTGGGCATGAGAGCGCCCTGTTCTCAGATTCTGAGAGGATGAATAACTTGCCTTGCAGAGGCAGGATTCAAGCCTGGGTCTGCCTGACTCCCTTGTCCCCCCCCCCATCTGCCTGTGTCACCACCCTGGCAGACACCTCACCAGGCAGTGTGCTTTACATGTCACAGAGGATGAGAGAATGGGCTTAGAAATATGTTTGTTTGTTTTCTTTTTTCTTTTTTTTTTTGAGTTGGAGTCTCACTGTGTCGCCCAGACTGGAGTGCAGTGGCTGCTCCTGGCCACCGCAGCCTCAACCTGCTGGGCTCTGGCGATCCTTCCGCCTCAGCCTTCTGAGTAGCCGGAACTACAGGCATACATTATGATGCCCGGCTGATTTTTTGATTTATTGTAGAAATGAGGTCTCACCAAGTTGTCCAGGCAGGTCTCAAACCCGCGGGCTCAGGCAATCCACTCACCTCAACCTCCCAAGGCGCGGGATTACAGGCTGAGCCACCGAGCCTACCTATTTGTTTGTTTTCTAAAGAATCTTAATGTTGTTAAGCAATAACTAAACTAATGACAAAATACAAACAAATGTTGATTGCCCTTGTGACAGTATCCTTACAGGTTGGTTTTTACATAGATTTCTTGGACACGTGAGGTCCTCATTAAGAAAATAGTGGCCAGCTTGTACTCAACAAGAAGCACATTGGTATGCGTCTTTGGCTATAGGAAGTGTAAGGTGGCTACCTGGGTTTTTGACAAGCACAGCCAGACTTACACATCCATCTGCCCACCTCGTTTCTATAGTAAGGCCATGGTTCCCACTTACTAGAAGCACATTTATGTGAACTGTTCTCAGAGTTGGGAACATATTCAGTGGAGTGTCTTAAATGCTGACAAATCTTCCTCCTTTGAGGGGAAGTTTATTTTCAGAAGCAGTTAAGACATTTAGAGCCAAAATTGCTGATGGATGGTACAGTCAAGCTGGCTGATGGTATTTGAGGTCAGACACTAAGATATGACAATTGAGTTCTTGAAGAAGAACCGCCGCCAAGGGAGGGGCATATGGTATTGGAGGGCTACCTAAGAATAAGTCTTTAAAGATTATGCCTATTCAGATGCAAAGGTTCCCAGAACAGGTGAGTCAGTCATCTTGCTCCCTGGTGAGGCGCCCAAGTGCCCTGTGTCTGTTTAATTCTGCCTGAAGAAGCAGAGCTTTACAGTCCAGTTTCCCTTGGCTAAGTTTAACCTAACACATGCACAGCTAGGGTCTTGACCCCTAGTCCTAAAATACACTGATTTTGAGACTAGAGCTTTTCTTTGGAGGGAGGAAGAATACAAAGTTCAGGATTTCATATTTTGTATTTTATTTGAGATTACCCTTAGTATCAGATTTTTTTTTTTTGGAGTCAGAGTCTCACTCTGTCGCCCAGACTGGAGTGCAGTGGCCGCTCCCGGCCACCGCAGCCTCGACCTGCTGGGCTCCGGCGATCCTTCCGCCTCAGCCTTCCGAGTAGCCAGAATTACAGGCGCGCGCTACCATGCCCGGCTGATTTTTGATTTATTGTAGAGATGAGGTCTCGCTGCCCAGGAGATATTTTGTATCTGAAAGCTTTGGTGGGGATTAGAAGGGACATGTCATTTCCTCTTCCTTGCCAAAGCGTCATACAGATGCTGTTGTGTGTTTTCAGAAACAGATGTGGTTTTGTAGCGTCTGCCTTTGGACATGTTCTCTTCTCTTTTTCTTTTCTCAAATACCCAAGGAAGGGAATAAAATAGTAGGAACATTACAGTATCAAGTGCCAATTAATATGTTGTCCTAAAATATCCTCAGTAATGTTATGCTCCATCGTATCTCTTGTAAGCTTCTCACAGAAAGCCTGTAAAACCAAAGGGGAACATTTAGGTCTATAAAGAGACAGGTCCTAGTCTGGCTCTATTCCCAGGCATCTTCAAAGAGGACATTTCAAATTATTTGCATATTAGATTCTGGATTTATTTTTTATTTTATTTTTT